AGGATCGCCCTTCTACGGCGAATAGGAATCTGCCACCCGTTCCACCATCAGCTACACCCGGTGGACCAGTCGCCCATCGCACAAGGAAACAGAGGGCAAATCGTCGAAATAATGCATGAGTGTGCGAGTTGTGTTTATTTCAAGTTATGTTTTGTTTAAATTTAGTTGAACAATGGTGTTTTTAGTTGGAGTTTTTTTTAGTTTTTTCATGTAGTGTGTTTGTGTTCGTGACAAGTTTTATTAAAAAAGATGGAAAATTGCACCAAAGTTTGTGTTTTGTGCAAATCTCTAATGTCATTTAAGCACACAACATACAAGTAGAGTAACCATTGAAATTAATAAACAAAGATGGAACAAACGCATGAAATCAATCTAAGCGCCATTATCCGGGTTCACCACATCCGGCCCTGCATTTTGAGGACCAATTGGTCTGGGACATTTTCGTTTATCATGACCGGGTACTTTGCATATGGAACACCGCCTTGGCCCCCGCGGTGGTCTTCCACTTTGATCCATTTCATTTGGAATCCTTTTTACCCGTGGGCGCCCTATTACCCGCCTAAGACCGATTGGTGGAATGATGACCATACCCTCATAAACTGGCCAGTAAGCTTCATCCGGCAATGCACGGAAACTAGTATGATAACTGCTCTTTTGTGAGTCAATGTTGAAGAACGGACTGACGAAATGACGAGGGTCTTTGCTCCTGTGCTTTATTGCAGCCATTGCATGGGAACATGGTATCCCTCTACCCTGATACTTCTGACAAGAGCACTCACCCTTTTTAGTCCTAAAGTTGACGGTGACTTCATGGCGATGACCCCCACGTCTCCCATCCTCCCAGTGCCCGGTCTCGACCGAAAACTCGCCAGCATGTCGGTTCATCACAGTGACTGTGTGACGAGAGCTCTTCCGATTATCTTTTTCCATTATTTTCATGACATAATCGGAGTGTACCTTACCCTGTGCCTCCCTATTCTCAGACCAGTGGAGACGGTTGACGAACCATCTGTTTGTTTTCCAGAATGTCATTTCAACAATTGCAGAGATGGGGAGTGCACGACATTCCCTGTAGACGTTGTTGATACTCTCGCTTGAGTTTGTTGTGGCAATACCCCATCTGTGACCTCCGTCCTTATGAAAAGTCCACATTTCAAGGTCATGTTGATCAAGCCACTGCGCACCTTCAGGGCATATTTGACGGATATTCTGCATCTTCTTTTTAAATTTCTTCTCTTGGTACGCGACAGCTGATGAATATAAAAAAAGTCAGATAAGCAAGATCGACCTTATTGACAATACAAGTACACTCGTAAGACTCTTAGGAGAGGTATACATCTCCTTAGAAACACAGTCTTTTTGACATAAAAAGGGGGGATCCGAGGATCGCTTAGAACCCGATTTTCCCAGGTCATGTTGGGATCATGATGAACGCTTAAGTCCCCATTTCTTTAGACATGCATTTCTTTATAAAGAGTCTTGTTAAGTGTTGTATTTTATTGAAACATTCCATACTTTTATACAGTTGAAAAATGTACAGAGACACAATTAATTAGAACGCTTACCGATCCACCATATACTGTCAGCAAGCTTCTTTCGCTTGAAATGATGGTTCCAGTTGCTCTTGAAATGCCATATGCACCATCTCTGTGACCAGTTCCAGGCTGGATCCAAGCCTAAGATAGCAGCCCGTATTCCGGCGTGGCGATCTGAGATGATAGTCAGGTTCGTCCGCCTGGTGACATGGAGCTGAATTTGTCTGAAGAACCAGCCATAGCTATCGGTATTCTCTCCCTCCACAATGGCAAAGGCTAATGGATATACTAATCTATTTGCATCTGCTCCGCTGGCAATCAGTAGAGTACCCTTGTACTTGCCGGTAAGGAATGTTCCATCAACTTGAATCACAGAAACACAGTATGGAAAACCATCAATACATGGCTTGAAGGTCCAGAAAAGACGCTTGAATTGGCGATTGTTACCAGGCGCCGGCGATTGAATTTCTTCATCTTGGTAGCGAGGCGAGAAAATGGTGCCAGGGTTAGACACCTCCAACGCCAAAATCAATTTGGGAAGGAATGCATATGATTCTTCCCAGTCACCAAACACGGCAGCCATTGCTTTCTGTTTCCCATGCCATGCTTTCTTGTAGTTAATGATATAACCAGAATGACTAGAAATGTGGGCGATGATGGTTTTGACCTTCAGGTCGGGCTGCTCCTCAATTAGATGTTTGATAGCCGCGGCAACCACCCTTGATTTCAAGTGTCGATGGCCTTGGGATGTTATTGATGACACACATGTGTGTGTGTTCACCGCACAGGATATGACCCAATGGCCGACTCTCTTGCTCTTGATAGCCCGGACCCTAGCTTTGCATCCCTCATTTTCATTTCTGCATCGAACCATCAGCCTCTTTGTGTCGGAATGGGTTGTTTGCCATTCATAACTCCGAGTCATTGCTTCAGTGGAAATAGCGTGTCGGACCTCATTCTTCGTTGCAAATTGTTGGCCCTTCGTAAAGCCAGTTAGTGGACCCCATACTAGCACATCTGGCGGGTCCATGTCGGCATCAACCTACCAATCTTCATTTTGAATGTGATTGTAGTATGGAATAGGTACACGGTCGTGAGCTACCTCATCACCATCTGCGTCTGAATCTGGACCGGAATCATCAGCACCTTCCAGCGGATCGTCGCTGTCTGCACTAACTTCGCCTTCCTCTTCTTCAACCTTAGGGTCGCTAACTGGACTTGGATTGAGCTCTTCTTCCATCTGACTACCAGCATGAAAGGCACCTTCACCTTCACTAGCTCCGTAATGGTAGTTGTGGTAACTAACACCGCTTTGATAGAAGTTGTACTCGGGTGGGTACTGGTAGCCTGCTTGTTGGTTGTAATTCGCCTGTTGAGCTTTTTCTTCATATGAAGGGAAGGATTGATGACTTCCTCCAGTACCATGATGATACTCCTGCCTCCAGCTCGACTCTTGGAAATCCTGGTGGGGATGATCTTCGTATAATACACTCCCACCGTGGATACCAGATGTTTGGCCATCTCCAGAATGACCTACACTGCCTTCGACGACCTCGGTGTAAAAGAACATCTCCGCTTGCTTAATTTTATTGGTGGTCAAAAATTGGAACATGGCATCAACGTCCTCCTGAGTGGTAAGGAGGAATTCCTCATTCCAGAGCGACCCTTCATGTCTGTTTGGATATCGATACACCATTCGATCAACTCTTCTAGTGCCATCCATGCAAGTAATCTGAGTGCACATTTGATGGAGCTCTTCAAGCATCGGTCTCGTACGGACCTTCATTTTATAAAAATTGCCACCGACGTAACTTACACCCTTTTCGGTCTCTTCCGTGTAACCATTCCACCGCAACCCAAGCGTGAACCTTTGGAATGCCATCTGCAATGAAAAGTAATTAAGTTACTAACATAGAATCACAAATGACAATGAAAAGTAATTAAGTTACTAACATAAAATCACAAATGACAATGAAAAGTAATTAAGTTACTAACATAAAATCACAAATGACAATGAAAAGTAATTAAGTTACTAACATAAAATCACAAAGGACAATGAAAAGTAATTAAGTTACTAATATAAAATCACAAAGGACAATGGAAAGTAATTAAGTTACTAACATAAAATCACAAAGGACAATGGAAAGTAATTAAGTTACTAACATAAAATCACAAAGGACAATGAAAAGTAATTAAGTTACTAACATAAAATCACAAAGGACAATAAAAAGTAATTAAGTTACTAACATAAAATCACAAAGGACAATGAAAAGTAATTATGAAACAAACTTACGAATTAACGTTAATCGCTAAATAATTTAAAGCTGAAATTTTAAGAAGGAAGAGGAGGAGGTGTGAAGAATTGAGTTCTCTGAAACCGCCTTTTATAGGCAAATTTTGCATCAAAACCGCTGGGGGGGGGGGGGAGCGGTTTTAGGTCTGCCATGCAGCCCTACCCCCTGCATGCCGACATGTCCGACATGTTGGCTGTCGGGTGACCAGGCACAAACCGTGCCTTGGGGCAGCGGTTTATGTCCTGACATTGTAAACCGCCGCTTGGGGAGGCGGTTTGTAATGCCGACAGTTAAACGCTCTCTCCTGAAGCGTTTTGTGGTAGGGTTAGCCTATAACCGCGCCTTCCAGAAGCGTTTGTTCTGGAAATTAAAAACGCTACCTAGAGACGCAGTTATAATGTAAAACGCTTACTGGAGGCGCGGTTTTATAGAAACGATGGTATTTTTGGAAATTATTTGGAGTGGGTGGTATTTTTGTAATTTTTTTTAAACAGTGGTAGTTTTGAATTTTTTCCAAGAAAATCAGAAAACAAAAACGGAAGTTTTAAGTTTTAACTTAATAAATAAGAAACATATGTCAAGTATTGGCCACCGTAACTTTTCATGGGGCTGGTCTTCAAATTAATGACCACCGTATTGCCACACAATGACCACCGTATCTCAATACCATGGTTAGTAAGTCATTACTAACTGAGTTTCAAAAAAAAAAAAGTCATTACTAACTACCGTTATGCGTGCGGTGGTTGATAAGTTACTATTAACTCCGTATTTTATACAATGGTAAAGATACGGTGGTTAAAAATGTTTTTTTTCCTATAGTGAAAAGAGAAATTAGGTATCATAAATTGTTAAGATACTAATTACTATTAAATAACATGATATGAACAATTAAAACTATAAATTAATTGCTATATGATATATGAGCTCGAGCATCTCGCGAGCTAATTAATGAGCCGAGCTCAAGTAAACCTGTGAGCTCATTCATGAGCCATGCTCGAGTCAAACTCGAGTGACACATTAGTCAAAGTTTTTATAAACAAATCGAGTTCGAGATCGGCTTGTTTATTCACGAGTTGGGTTCAAATTTGGTCAAATTTCGACCGGATTCGACTAAAATACATGTAAGCACGCGCGTGCGGGAGTTGCAAGCTTCAGTTTTGCTGGAACTCTTATGTTGGTAGTGCTGCCGACAGACTGGCAGAGCAAAGACGGGAAATGGATAAAGTATATAGCTGGCAATGGCATTAAACATCACCACACTCACATCATATTTACAGCTTGGCTCAGTGACACAGGTCTTGAAATCTGCAAATCGGCTCTGACATCAAAATTGAATGCAACTATGGCTATGGCACGCCCATTCGATCAAATTCCGAGGCTTTTACGAAGAACTAGCTGGCTAGCCCCGGTCCCTTGGCGGTTGAAAGCCCTAATTAACGCCAACTTGATCTCCGCCGCCTCCGACAACAGCATTAATAACGTGGACCGATCGATCGAGCTGGTTCGGTTGTTCATTTGGGATTTGGATCCTTGCTGGTAGAAGTGACAAGTTGTGGTTCGATTCGCTAGCCTGGGCTGGCAGAGATCCAATCATCCAAATGATTTAATTTGGCGATAGTGAATGATCAGATTCAGATCACATGCACAGTCGAAGTATTAATTAATAATGGAACTCGTTTGATGGGTGCATGCGTCACGTTGGCACTGGCAAGAAGCCAAGAATGGTTCTATAATCAGTCCCAATCTCGATTCGTGGTCAATTTACATGGTTCTATAATCGTCTACAATTTGATAATATGAAATGCTCAATTTACGAGCACTTCTACTATGCTATATAGCATTGGTGCTTTAATGTACAATTTGAAGTTGTACCTTAACATTAAATATATAAGTTTAGGTTGTACCATAAAGGAATTTGTATCATTATGTTATGGTACAACTTTACAACTTGAAGTTGTACTATCACATAAGGTACAAGTTTAAGTTGTACCATAAAAGAATTTGTACAAAACGTATAGGTACAATCTGAAGTTGTACCATAACGTTAAATGTACAATTTCAAGTTGTACCATAAAGGCAAAAATCTATAGCACCAATGCTATATAGCATTGTAAAATTCCTCCTCAATTTACATGGATTTAGGAATTTGAGATACACTGTACTAGAAGCAATTTGGTACGTAGCTAGAAATATGCCAAAATTCAAAGTGGCTCGATTTAGGATGACTAATTATATTGAGCCAAAAAATTCGGACAAAGAATAATTTCTTTCACTTTAACAGAAACTATTATAAAGAGTAAAAACTTACACTGTTAAAAAGTTAACTTCCTGTAAAAAAAGTATTTTATCATCGATTTGATCGTAAGCAATTTTGACCTGACCTGTTTGATCTGTTTTGGTTTTCTCATTTTAAGGTTACCAAAACATTTAAGTTTCCATGTAAAAGCAATGTATAAAATAGTGCAAAATTATTTATAAAAGCGCGCGAAAAGCTGAAAAACACACTTTTATTTCTTTTTTATACGCTTTTGAGTAACATGATAAATAAGTTAATTTAGGAAGAATCACAACGTCATGCCCAACTAAAAATTGAAATAAAAATTAATTAAACAAACATGGAATCACTAAATAAACACTCTCCTTTCATTCCTAATCTCTACAATATTACTAGGGATGACAATTACCCACCCATGGTTAATTATACCCAAACCTAAGTAGACCCATTGATAATGGGTTGGGTATGGGTGAAGTGCATATGGGTTTGGGGGGGTTTGTAGATGGGTTTGGGTAATGTATGAATATTGCTTCCATAATCTAAATGAGTATGGGTTGGATATGGATATCCATTTAATTGAGGGTGTTTTAACTACACATGCAAAAATTGGACCTATTTGTAAAACTTAAAAATTTTAGGTAACAAAATGTAAGAAAAAAATAGGTACCAAAACGTAATTTTCCATTGATATTTTGAGGACTTATATGCAAAAAAAAAAAATTTAGGTACTAAATATGCATATCTATTAAGTTTAGGTACCAAACTGTAATTTGTATTTGGGCATGGGTACAAACCCAAACCCATTTGCTATAAACCCAACCCAACCCAAAGTAAATGGATATGGGTACAAACCCATCAAACTCTACCCGTATCCATCTATTTGGATTTCATACCCAACCCAATTGGGTTGGATAGTTAAAAACCCATGGGTATGGGCAAAATTGCCATCCCTAAATATTACCCCTTCATTCCTTCTAATACCTCACCTCAAAAGTCAGACTCCCCTGCCTCGATAGCAACTAGAGGTGGCAATGCTCAATCCATTCCATCAATTCATTAAAAATATCCAACTAATCCAATTCATTTTAATCCAATCTATTTGATCCAAATCCAATTGGGTTGGTGGATTCATTGTTTAGATTCATGGATCGTTGGCAAATTACTATTTAGTACCTATAATTTTTATGTTTTATATTTTGGTACCTAAAAATTTTCATTATGAGATTTTAGTACCTAAACTTTTCACATTTTACATATTGATCTAAGGTTAAAGATGTCATTTTGATTTATTGATAGTCCACCAATCCACATGATCCAATTAATAAATCAACCAATCCATTTGATCTATGAATCCACCAATCTATAAATTCAATCCATTTGCCACCTGCCCACCTCTAATAACAACCTTTCCATCTCCTTCACCGCTCATCGATGCAATACTGTCTTCGCCTTCTACACCTCCTAAATAGAGGAACAAATAACATCTTATATCCCTCAATTAGTTCTCAATCGTGTAAGTTTTATTCTCCCAATCCAAATGATAATTATTGTTAGCTAATGAATTGTGAATTGATTCTAGTGATACCGAATTCTCATTAATGAGAAATTATTTTTTTTTCCTATTTCAAAATTCCATGATTTTTAAAATAAATTATTTTATCAGAATTCCTATTTGGTTCTAGAGATCCCAAGTTTTAGGGATTTACTATAGGGATTTACTATTCTATTGTACGTTATTAACTTGTCGAATTAGTTCATGTTTATAACCAGTGGTATTAAAATATGGGAAAATGTTAGGTATTGGAATAATATTATATTTGAAAGAGTACATGTACTCAATAGAATATTTCTATCGATTTTACATGATATATAAAATCTTACAGTTTTACAATTTAGCGCTTGAATGTATTTTTTCGCTTTTATGTAGAATCGTAATTTTAACTGAATTGATTCTTCTTGAAGGTCATCACAGAGGTTGTTGCATCAATGCATAGTTAGTAAAATACGGTATGGAAAAGTTACGTATAAAATACACACGGGTATTATACTTCGTCTCTAAGCTAAAGTTACATTTAATAGTATGTTAATAGTTATAAATATATTAAATTAATTATTTTAAAAATAAAAATATATATAAATAATATTAAAGTTAACAATTCTTAAAATGCGGATAATAAACGTGTTATACAGGTTTTATACGTGTTTAGTCAGGGAACCATCAAATGAACAAGGAAAAATGAAATGGTTTGACAATAATACGAATACAAAAGTTTTAAACGGATAAAGTACGTATGGATACATATACGTGTATTAAACAGAGTATTTAGTAACTATGGATGAATGATATGGCGACGAGCACACCCAACTGATCCATTTTTACTTATTCACCCCACCCCCCAAATAAAATCCAGATACCTGCAAATGTTACCAGACAGAGAGAGATAGGTTGTAGTATGATGGAAATTGGAAACTAGTCTTCATCATATTACACATTTGGATATTCATTATACTTTATGGTATTTGAATATTTTGGTATGATTAAGGGGCAATTGGGTGTTAGTAAAATTTTTTGTTTTGCATAAACGGTTATTTATAGATAGCACAAGAGAATTAGTCGAATTATATATTATGTAAACGGTGAATTAGGTTGATCGAGGCAACCGAACCCTTGCTATAGTTAGCCTTCCAAGATGGAACTCGGGATGAAACCTCGGTGTGGATGGTGGATAGTGTCCATTGAAATGAGCCATAATTTTAATGCCCCCAGATACGATAGGCTAGATCGAGGTGACTGGAACATGGGTTTAGGGGAGGCATACTCGGAGGCGTGTGGATAACCACGAAAGCCCATGGAAAAGAGCTCACTCACCACATTCAATGACCCTAAGTATCTAGATATACATAGTAACCCTAAGCTAGGGGGAGGGATATTTCCCCGAAGTACCTACTTTTAGCTTTGATCAATATCTTGACTAGTGTTTCCTCATATGATCCACTCAAAATCTCAAAAACCAATTAACTAATTAGCAACTAGGTGGGAAGTAGGCTAGGGTACCAGGACCCGAGTAGACTACGACCTTGATTACCACTATACGACAATCCTGTTCTAGGTTTAACTTGGGCTAGGATGGGATAGTTGTTGGTACGTTCTAACCTCTAACAATAACCTGCACGGATTCAAGTGATCAAGCTTTTTGGCGTCTTTGCCGGGGTGCCTTGGTAACTATTATAAAACCATTAAATTGTTAGTTAGTCTTTACCTTGCATTATTTGTTTCGTGATTGTTTTGTTCTTTGTGTGTTTGTTTCGTATTGATTGTTTTTGTGTGTTTGTTTCATAGTGTTTGTTTTTGTGTGTTTGTTTCGTGTTTTGTTCTTTTCATATTTGTATCATTGTTTGTTTTGTTATCCAACTTCGTACGTCACGGGTTGTTGAGGTTGTGTTTTATAGCATCGTTGTATGCAAAGAAGGGATTCCTTGGAAATATTACCTTTTGATTCTGAATCGAAAGGACCCTTCGGAATCTGAGAAGAGTTGCAAGACCTCAACCTCCACCAATGGCGGAACAGCAAGCTCAAGTGCCACCAAGGCCGAGAAAAATGGGATTTTACTCTTCCGGGAACTAAGGACATTCACTCCCCAATACTGTACCCTACTCTCACGGGGAAGGAGTGCGAGATCACCTCAGGTATGATTTCAATTATCAAGACCGATTACCAATTCTAGAGGGAAAAGGAGGAAATCCCCATCATCATGTAGAGGAATTCCTCCTCCTGACCGACGGGTCAGTGGCGGATTCTTGGGTTTGATACCCCTAAAATTTGGGAAAATGATTATCCAACTCTCGGTAGTAGTTTCGTATGAAAAAATAATTATAATTGGTAATCTGGAACACCCTTAAATTTTGAAAAAACGATTATCCTGTCCTCGACGGTAGTTTGCGTATGATTAAAAATATATAAGTAGTACTCTGTGTTATTCAAACCTAGGACACTACTATTATTAAACATATTCTCTAGGTTGCAACTCATTTGTTGGTCTATTTTAAACACTATGTTATAGTAAAAACACTATTCTTTATTCCCAATTATTTTCAAAACTTAAAAATTAAACTCATTCGATCTATCCTTAATTTGAATTGATTTTATAGGTATACTGCAAGAGTTGAAAGAGTCTTTCAAGTTTGAGTTACATAAGGAACAAGGTTAGAAATCGAATATGCGATTAATTCACGAATTATTGTCTAATATGGTATATTTGCACTA